TCGTCTTATTATATCATATCTTATCTATCTTTGGTGTAAATGATCTTTGAATTGTTTTGTAGAAGCCCTCCAAAAATTGGATTGATATTCTTAATCCTACCGGAATTATGCCTTCTCAAGTATAGCGCAAGCTGATCGTGAAGATGAACATGGGAGGCAAGTCTCAGAGGCAGATCGCTCGAACACTTGAATTCGTGGAACATGGTATGATACAACCGCGCCGTTCTAAGGAAACAAGCAGCACCCAGGACCTGTCCTAGGGACGGTAGACCAGCCATCGCGAACACCCCCGCGAACCGGAAGATTACCCGAGAACGCATACGTCGTAGTCCGCAGAGGAGCTTGAATGAGCTGGCATCAGAGCTGTCCATCAGTCGTAGGACCATCTCGGACATTGAAGTGAACCTTGGATTGAAGCTTTACCGGACGCAGGAAACGCCGCACTTCAAAACGAGATGAGGCTAATCCGACTTCGCAGGTGTCGCCGATTGCTTGAGCAGCATCTCCAAGGCACGTCACCGAACGACTCTCTTTTCCGATGAGAAAATTTTCACCGTGGAGCAGCTTTTCAATCGCCAAAACGGCAGGATCATATCCAGATCGCTCGAAGAAGCAAACAGCAAAGGTCGACTTGTGGAAAGTAAGCCTCATCCGGGTTCTGTGATGGATTGAGCGCAAACACTTCCGAAGGCAAGACGTCGCTGATTTTTGTGCCTCAGGACATAAAGGTAGACGCTGCTGCGTATTTGAACAGCATTTTGAAGAAGGAACCGCTACTTGGACCACCATTTTGCCGGTAGAGTTTGGTGCTTCCAGCAGGGCAACGCACCGCTCACAATGTGAAGGGTTGTTCAGGCGTGGCTCCAAAGCAACGTTAAGAACTTCGTTACTTTTGCAGAATGGCCTCTGTATTCACCGCATCTTAACCCCCTCAACTAGTATGGTCAATTCTTGAGGCTGAAGCCTGCGCTCACCCACACAGACTGTGGAGTCCCTACAACGTGCTTTTCAGGATGCGTGGGAGGAAATCGACTTGGATTCCTCCGTGCCGCCGTGGACAGCTTTCCCAAGCGTCTTCGAGCCTGTGTTCGCGTCAAAGGAGGGATCTTTGAAATGTAAAGTTGCTTTTATATAGTAAACTGTTTGATGAACATTATATATTTATTTCATGTAAATATGTTGCCTAGGTTCGTGACTCGATAAAAATACCTTTTCAAGGACTTTCCGCCAACCTCGTTGAATATCAGATGGCCCTTTTTTGATCACGATCATTCAATGATTCTAACACATTCTCAGACATTCGTGGTTAAGTCCCGCAAGAGTCTTGCGAGACCCAAAACTACTGGATTAAAAAGGTGATCTTGTATGAGAATCCGATTTCGTCCCGTACTTAGGGCCGGGCATAAACTACCGATGATATTTTTTGAGAGACGCAAAGTCACCGATTTATGTGATGTCACGGCAGCGTGGCCATATCTTGCTTCAGAGTGGACGAATTGTCAATCCAAGGTCATCATTAGACTCAGTTCGGCGCGACGCATGTTCTGATAAATAGAAGTGCCTGTTCGGGCACAGTAGGATTATGCTTATTCATTACACTGGGTGTATGACTTTATGAACGAGCTATAGCCTTAACTAATTTAGACGCACGAGCTTTAGCCTTAAAAATTTAGAGGAAAAAATGAAAGTTGTGTCGCATATTACGCTAAAGCATCTTTGGTCAATGAGCTCGTGGAAAGAGATAAAGAACTACCCCCTTTTTCGCTTTTTCCAGATCTTTGCATGAATTTAGTAACTATATTGTGCATAGCAATTTTTGTTGTCAACCGCAAGTGCTTGGATTTTGTTCGTATTTGGTGCTTTTTTATTAAAAGTTTGATACAGGTTTGTCCCGAAAGTTTTGTCCGGTTTTTCAACCTATCATAAAAACACGAGAAATGAAGGCAAACGCTTCAGGTACTATCCGACGCAGCTTTTCCTCCTCTTTCCAACAGTCATGACTACATGCCGATTACTCTTTTGCTCACTGAGATAAACGCCGAAATTTCGAGCCCGTGGTTTTCACTATGTCCAAGTTTGCCAATTTTTCACAAACTTCATTTTTAACTTTTGGAAGACCTTTGATAGCGCTCAGATAGAATAAACAAAGGGCAATGCAATGCAATTTTTCGGCTTATGCAGCTGGCTTTTCAGTATTTTTGATAATTTTTTCAAAAGTCTTCACTTTTACGAAGTCCAAAAATACAGAAACGCCTCGAACACTAACAAATCATCGGATTTTGAAGCTTTCAAAAATCTACGATTATTCACTATTTTTACAAAGCAACTGAGCGTATACCGCTTTAACGTATAAGATTTCGCATTTTACGATATACGCTGAGGCGGGATCAAATTCAAGAATTATGGAAATTTTATCACTAAAGAGGAAGTTGGAGGGAAAATACACTCACTGGAAAGAGGAGGAAAAGCTGCATCGAATAACACCTTAGTTGTGCGCCGTTTCATGATGTCTGGCATTTGGCATCACCAAAAGTGGGATTTGATAGCATCAGAAAAATAATTTTAAAAAATTTTCAAGGCTAGCCATAAATGCCGCAAAATTGTATTATACTGCCCTTTGTTTGCTCTATCTAAATGATACCAGAGCTTTTCCGAAAGTCAAAAATAAAGATTATGAAAAACTAGCTGGCTTACCCGGCTCCGCCGTATCCGGACCAAACTTGGCACACATACACTTCGGGCCCCGGCGGGTGTCACAGTCCACTTTTCGTTATCGATCGATGTCGATTTTACCGATTTTTATCGATTTTTTGCAGAGTTCACCTACAGGGCTAGGAGTTGGCACAGGGGGGGAAGTGAGCATGGGGACTCCGAATACAATATTAGTTTTCAGAATTATCGATTACTTTTATTGATTTTATCGACTTTTTGTAAATTTTGACATGCGAGGCTGGGATTTTGCACAGGGGGGTAATCGAGCATGCTGATTACGAACACAATATTAGTTTTCAGGATCGTCCATTACTTTTATCGATTTTATCGATTTTTTGTAAAGTTTGACCTGCGGGGCTGGGATTTTGCACAGGGGGGTAATCGAGCATGCTGATTACGAACACAATATTAGTTTTCAGGATCGTCCATTACTTTTATCGATTTTATCGATTTTTTTTGTAAAGTTTGACCTGCGGGGCTGGGAGTTTGCACAGGGGGGGGGTAATCGAGCATGCAGATTACAAATACAATATTAGTTTTCAAGATCGTCCATTACTTTTATCGATTTTATCGATTTCTTGAAAATTTGAGCTAGGGGGCTGGAATTTGGCACAGGGGTGTAATCGAGCATGCTGATCACCCCCCTTGGGGATGATCAGCATGCTCGATTCCCAGCCCCGTAGCTTAAACTTTGCAAAAAAATCGATAAAATCGATAAAAGTAATCGATAATCCCGAAAACCAATATTGTATTCGGAATCCCCATGCTCGATTACCCCCCTGTGCGAACTCCCAGCCCCGTAGCTCAAACGAAGTAATCGATAATCCTGAAAACCAATATTGTATTCGGAATCCCCATGCTCGATTACCCCCCCCCCCCCCCCGTGCCAACTCCCAGCCCCGTAGCTCAAACTTTGCAAAAAAAATCGATAAAATCGATAAAAGTAATCGATAATCCTGAAAACCAATATTGTATTCGGAATCCCCATGCTCGATTACCCCCCTGTGTCAACTCCCAGCCCCGTAGGTGAACTCAGCAAAAAAAAATCGATAAAAATCGATAAAATCGATATCGATCGATGACGAAAAGTAGCCTATGACACCCGCCGGTGCCCGTAGCGTATGTGTGCCAAGTTTGGTCCGGATCGGTTCAGAAATGGAATTTTCTATTCGGAACATACGTACATACATACATACATACATACATACATACATACATACATACATACATACATACATACAGACAAACAGACATTCAGCTTTATATATAAGATTGCCAAACTTAGACATAGTAAAAACCATGGGTTCGAAATTTCGGCATTTATCTCACTGAGCAGAAGAGTAATCGGCATGAAATTATGACAGTTAGAAAGAGGGGAAAAGTTGCATCGGATAGTGCTTAGAATGTTTCCCTATCTTCATTCCACGTGTTTTTATGATAGGTTGAAGAAACGGACAAAACTTTTAGGACAACCTATTAGGTTGGCACGTAAGTAATGCAACTTTTTATATAACTTTTGTCTATTTGAACGTAGAGCATTCATTTTTTGGCAATATAAGGGATATGATGTAAGCTTCTAATGCACACATTTTTCCGAATTTTACCACCTTATGTCAGGATTACGGTAGGTTTACGGTACTATGGGAAAATTTTTAGAATGCATCAGATTTTGCTGAAACTTGGCCTATAGGGCTTATTTGACATGCTGATTACAAAAATGAGATCCATTTCGCATGAAAAGGCCTCGTTCGTGAGATCAAAAGATGAATTTTATTTTAGCGACAAATGAATATGATATTCGTGTTTACCGCATAGAATTACCCTATAGTGCGAAGTTATAGCGAATTCTGACTTTTCGCAGCTTAGTTATTGACAAATTGCCTTCAAAACTTGACGCATTTGACTTATTCAGCTTCTCAAAGGCGCCCCACCTTAATTTGTGTTAAAATTTCATTTCTTTTTCACTGATTCCAATGTGCCAACTTCCAGCTACATGCTGCCTATAATTGCTTTTTCATATGTTTGAATCAGGTTTCGTAGGGCTTCATGTTTGCCAAAAAATCCAGAAACCTCGATTTTCAGCAGTTTTCGCAAAATGCTTAGATTTTTTGTACAACGTTAACAAAAATCAAACGGTTTGCGCAGAACTTGCAGCTTACATCACGATCTATATGATGCCACAAAATGAGACTGCTACATAGAATAGGAAAAAAGTCACGGGAAAAGTTGCAAAACTTATGTGCCAACCTAATAATATTTCATTTTCATCAAGAGAAGTCAAAAACCACTTAAGTTTTTCTGAGCTTCTTCTTGCTTTTTCTTTTTGCAGCTTTTTTCCCATACTCAGGAGCTTCCGTAACAATAGGTTCTGGTGGTGCTGCATACGGAGCTGGCGGGGAGGCAACAGCTCCCACGGGACCGCGAGCAGGACATGGACAGTAGTGAGCATCTTTACCTGGAAGCCCGCGCATTCCAAATGTACCTGGTGGGCCGTCATTTCCTCGCATTCCTGGTGGACCATCTTGCCCAGGAGGACCTTGACCACCGGGGGCTCCAGGCATACCAGCTGTACCAACAGCACCAGGTTTTCCTTGTAATTCGGGTGGAAAGGCGGTCTGGCTGGCCCAGGCATTCCTTTTCCTCGTCTTCCGTCTTGGGCCTTCATACCTGGCATTCCTGGAGGTCCACGTGGACCAGGAGGACCAATGTCGCCAGGTTGGCCTAAATGACCAGGCATACCATTGTTGCCTTTTCGTCCTGGTTCACCAGGTCGGCCCATCTGTCCAGGTGGACCTGGCGGACCAGGTTACCCGGGTTCTCCCATTGGCCCCGGCGGACATTTGATGCAAGAAGGATTTGGAGGTGGACACTGAATTGGTTGATAAACTGTCATGTCATCGTTACCCGCGGGGTCCTGGCATTCCAGGCATTCCTAAATATACTCAGTATAATGTACAGAATAGGGAAATCAATGCGACATCGCTGACCTGGCGCTCCTGGAGGTCCAGGTGGTCCGGGTGGCCCAGGTGGGCACACGACGGGCGTAATCTCGCAGACGCACCACGGAGGAAGCTGTTGCCTTTTACGTCGGAATATTGAATCAGACGGATTCTCAGGGCCTTCATTTCTGGAGAGATCATCAGCTGCACATCCATAATCTCTATACATGCTAAGTCGGTTTCCGTGCGAAAGGCAGCTACACCAGCGAAAACCTAGTATCAAGCTAGTCATAGCACTTGAGCTTTATAAAACGAGAACATGATAAAATAAACCTACCATTTCTGGATTTCATTGATTTCCTTGTACAGAGCTGGGACCACGGTGGTGCAGACGATCATAGCTATAACGGCAGCGACAGAAGCCACCGCCATTAGGCTCTTCTTCCGCATTATTTAGTCGGAGTCCAACTATGACTGTTTGACGCCAATCTCGCTCCTTTTAAAGCTTCTTGTCGTGTAGTCAACTGGCTGCTCGATGATTTCTAAGCTTTTCTTAAGCCCGAAATAATGAAGAAATTCTAATGTCATCATTTATGCATTTACGGGAATGCCGCTGATATCGCGGTACCTGTCCTCAATTCAACGGCATTAACTTACACAAAAAACATAAAGTTTATGTATACTTCTAGATAAGTATACTTTGCTTTGATTCGCTCACTAGATTTTTTCGGAGACAGCCTTATTTTACCACTGTGCGTATGCCATCACCTGTATATGACATCAAGGTGATCTGCTCGCTCATTTCTTGGCCTATTGGCAATTGACGAATAAATGTGCTAATGGATGAGCTAGAATTTTTCCCACTGTGATCGTTAACCCTGATGCTCAGACTTTGCATTTGCTGATAGATGTTATGTGAGGTTTGTTGAAACTGGACGGCGGAGACGTTAATGCATGCGGCCCCAAAAGCCGCATGCATCAGTATTACCGCCGGGGAGGGGATCGCAGCTCAAAAGGAAGCTTCATATCCTCAAGCTCCAAATATCTGGATTTTGCGATGTATACCTATCCGTGAGTATTCCCACCATCCTTCACTATGAACACAGTGAACAAATGTAAAAGCTGCCGCGTTTTCCAGCTTTTTGTATGATCCCCTGAAGATCCCCAGCGGCCGATCGCCTTTGAAGTAGTTTGATGAAAACATTCCAAAGTTGTATTGCTTATCTATCCAATAGTGCTAACATGTTGCTGATAAGAGCAAATAAAGTTTTGTAGTCATGATTTTTTCGATGAACCACAGGTCGAAAGTTGGGGTTCATAGGATTCCAAGAGCTCATTTGTTCTTATCAGCAACAAGCTTAGCACTGTTGGATTAGATAATCAGTACAACTTTGGAATGTTTCTCTTAACTCTGAAGAAAGAAAAATGGCTCTGAAGAAAAGACGCCGCTGGGGATAATCAAGGGATCATGCAAAAAGCTGCAAAATGCAGTTTGTACAGCTTCTTGCTTGTTCAATATGTTCATAGTGAAGGATGGTGGGAATACTTAACTGATAGTCCAGGACACTTTAGAATAGTAGATGTACTAGTAGATCGGATATGAATAAGAACGGACGATAAGATGATACGAATGACTTAGCTAGCAAGGAGCGCCTTATATAGCGCTCAGTTCCCGCGCATAGGTCAATACAATACCATCACAAAGCAACACAAACATTAACAAATATTATGTTACTCTCCGACAGTTTCAATATATTCATATCTTTTCTTAGACCTTTGCTGATAAGCTTTTCTTTCTCGACTCAACTTTTCAACTTTTGACAACTCTATAGGTCTCGGTTTCTCCGCAGGCGGCGTGAGGCGGATATGGTCGCCGATGATGGAGCGGTGCCGTAGGACTTCGCACCCAAAAATGGTGAAAAGCGCTAAGGGTTGGTGGTTTTGTGAAAGAATTGTGTAGTAGATGTTCAATGGCAAATATCGCGCGAGCAAAGACACTAGAGGGGTCGAGTGGTAGAGGAAAAAACGAATAAAGGAAAAAGAAAACTACAGATTGTCCAGGTTCGTCTGTCTCTTTGCCATGGTGGATACTCGTAGTGGAATTGACTAAGCGAACTTTCAAGGTTGATACCACTTCTTTTTTCGCTAACTTTCGGCGCTTCGCCTCTTTCAGAGCCTGCAAGCCGAAATCATATGAACTTACTCGCCCAGACGTCAACAAAAGACCAAAGTATCATTCGAAAACAAAGCTAATGCTAACAAAATTATATTCACGAGCAAAGTACTCACCTTAGATAGCACTAGGCGGAAGTCTAAGGACCATTTATGCATGCACAAGACACTAAGTCAGCTCTTTTATAAAGTGCGGTTCATAATTATACGAACACCCAAAATTTTGTAAGTTTTCGGACTTTTTGGGAGAAACTCAAAAAGCCGTTGGTACCACGCGATAGAACACAGCCGAAAACGATATATGATTCATAAGAATGGAAGTCGATGTCAATTGTAGGAGTGTTTTGGCGGCTAGTGCGAATCTTTAGCGGTTCATAATTATACGAACACCTCAAACAAAGGCCCATTTTTCATTCAAGAATGCAATCGTTTGAGTCCAAATTTTTTGAAGAGTTATAGTAACAAAGTCTGACATATCTGCTACACACTGAACCCAGTGCAGTTCAAAACGAGGACCGTTACTTTTTTCAGAAAGCTCTAAATGCTTCTAAAGTGATTGAGCTCCAGAAACATCCGTTCTTCAGTGGTTTTCACGCTCTAATTAGCTTCTACCAAAGCTATGAGATAAAATAAGCTCTTGCGATAAATATTTTGTTTGATGCTTGGAAAATCTTTGCGTTTTCGTGCCGTTTTTCAACCAAGTTCCAACCTTAGCACAGAGTTAGCACGATTTCGAGCCTCAAAACTCAGCTTCTCTCTCGCGCAAACGTTTGATATGAAGCAGCTGCATTGCTTGCATGATGATATTTCTGTGCCAAAGTTTTTAGGTTTTTTCTAGAACTGATCTTGCGGATGTGGAGCTACAAACCAAATAATGGTGTGATTGCAAGAGTAAAACCAGTATTTTTGGTAAAATAACGTCTGCGTGGCCGAAACAAACGCTCAACGCTGCTGATTTTTTCTAGCCAAATATAAAGTCTTGTAAACTTCTACATACTACATGCTTACTTCATTGCATGGCTTCAGAAGCTGAGTTTTGAGGCTCGAAATTGTGCTAACTCTGTGGTAAGGTTGGAACTTGATTGAGAAACGGCACGAAAACGCAAAGATTTTCCAAACGTCAAACAAAATACCTATTGCAAGAGCTTGTTTCATCTCATAGCTTTGATAGAAGTTAATTGGAGCGCGTAAACCACAGAAGAACGGATGTTTTTGGAGCGCAATCACTCCAAAAGCATTTAGCCCCTTTAAAAAAAAGTAACGGTCCTTTTTGAACTGCACTGGGTTTAGTGTATAGCAGATATGTCAGACTTTGTTACTGTAGCTCTACAAAAAATTTGGACTCAAATGATTGCAATCTTGAAGGAAAAATGGACCTTTGTTTGAGGTGTTCGTATAATTATGAACCGCTAAAGATTCGCATTAGCCGCCAAAACACTCCTACAGTTGACATCGATTTCCATTTATATGGATCATATACCGTTTTCGGCTGTGTTCTATCGCGTGGTACCAACGGCTTTTTGAGTTTCTCCCAAATAGTCCAAAAACTTACAAAATTTTGGGTGTTCGTATAATTATGAACCGCACTTTACGTGCCCGACCCGGCCTCATATTGAAGGCCTCATATTCAAATCCGCATAGAGACTGATAAGGCGCACTCCCTCTTTATGACGGTACACTACTCCTTCCGGTTCATTTTTGGATTTTTGGCGCTAATCCAAAACGCTCCTAAACTTTTGCGCGTGAGGATCTCGGGTTTTAGCGACAAGATCTTTACAGTAACTTGTATAGGAGCCTTACCATGGCGCTAATACGATGTTCCCCTAATGGCGCAGCTGCTTTTGCTTAGCCGTCTATATGCTCCTTGACGCGACAGCAAAGCGGACGCCCAGTTTCGCAAATGTCAGTGTCGCCTCATGATAAGTATCCAATGAGGTAAAATACTCCGACTAGCATACAGTCCCCACATCTACTATACGGGCAAACCATGCGTTTGGAGTAGCACATATGCGGTCATAAGCTCGATTACGAACCACTTGGCGTTTGAGATTAGTGGGAGGAATATCGACCACTCTTTCCACGCCGTGCACCCGCCTGATGTAGCCTGGCCATCCTGCCCTACTCAATTCATCGGAAAGGGGTGGCAGGCAGAAGGGGACCTCGTTATCAGCGCCATATTAGGCTGCTCCGAGAAGAAGCGCATGCTTTGCGGCTGTGCCCAAGTGTAGTATAGCCATTGGAAGCAGCAATTCCCTGTGCCAAGACGATGGAGTACGATCGTTCCTCGCTGCCGGAACATACCCGCGGAACTGTTCTGTACATATTGCCCACAATAGACCGTTTTGTGCTATTTGGATTGTTTCATACTGCCGCACTGACTGCAGCAGACTGCAGCTGACCGCACTGACGCAACGGCCGCACAGCTCGCTGCATCCTTTCGTAAAAGAGAAAATAGTTGCGAATACAATCAAAACACCGTGACTTACGCCTAGAAAGCATAGCTTCTAACTTACTCTTCTAGTCAAATTTTGGCGATTGTTTTTTTAATATGCTCATATTTGTTCAGATTCCTTTTGTCACTGCATATACCTATATCACTCCCGCTCGTGTTGTCTATTGGGGCATACATTGTTGAGAGACTGTTTCGAGCTACAACTATTTATCCTCTCCCCCTTCACGAAAGGATGCAGCGATCTGCGGGGCCCCGCGGTCAATGCGGTCAGCTGCAGTCTGCTGCAGTCTGCTGCAGTCAGTGCGGCTGTCTGAAACAACCCTTTGGATGTGCAGACAAAGAATGTACCAAAATGTTTTACTATTGGGTTTGCGATACCACTTAGTTTTGTAGCTTCCGCCTGCTAGACGGATCTGCACATTCAGAAACGCCAACCACCTCCCAATAGGTTTCTCCCTGGTGAAAACGATGCTTGGTGACTGCTGGTTTAATATTTGGAAGCAAGTATCTACTTCGGCTTGAGTTTTGGGCATATGACGCAGCAGTCATCTATGTAGCGACTGTAAAGCAGGGGTTTTCGCTGCAGCACTGGCGCTTCTATCTTA